ACCGAGACCGCCTTCCACCTGGAAACCAATGCCCTCAATGCGGAAGAAGATGCAGAGCAAGAATAGGGCTCCACAGCCACATACGGACCCACAAGAATATTGGAAGACAATCATCCTCGGAAAGCGAGGGATCGCCTAAGTAAGTAAGTAAGTAAATTGAGAATATCATTTACATTAATGTGTATGATTCATTTATGTCAAGGGCCGAAGTTTGACCATGCCTGTCTAGTGAATGCAGATTGATATCACGTTGACTGCCATGGCTTGAGGTTATATAGATTCCCTGGGAGTTATAGTTCACATTCTGGCAGCGAAGGCTCAAGACCCTATGAAACTACAACTCCTGGGATCCCACAGCCGTGTCCAAGCGGTGTCAAAACTGCTTCAACTCTGCAGTGTAGATGCACCCTGAGTTTCAGATGATACGATCCCAGGGGTCATTTCTTTTTTGGCTGCAAAGGCAAGGCTCCTGGGATAGGTAACCTTATCTCCCTCCGAAAGCCCATTGGAAGTCCATTTAGAGGCCAAGGCAGGCAGATGAATCAGCGGGAGGGAAGAGGTCTCTATTACAAGGTCGGAGGCTGGAGAGCCGTTTGCAAAATCATTAATAACCTCGGAGCCGGGAGATCAAGATACCATGGGCGGCAGGCCAGCTCTGGGGAGGGGGGGAATGTCATAGGAAATAATGCTACAGAAGAACGGCCTGCCTCAGGGGAGCGTGCTTGCTCCATCCATGTTCAACATCTACACAAATGACCAGCCACTGCCAGAAGGGACAGAGAGTTTCATCTATGCTGATGATCGTGCCATCACTGCTCAAGCAGGGAGCTTTGAGATGGTAGAACAGAAGCTCTCCGAAGCTCTAGGTGCTCTTACTGCCTATTACAGGAAAAACCAGCTGATCCCCAACCCATCTAAAACACAGACATGTGCCTTTCACCTTAAGAACAGACAAGCATCCCGAGCTCTGAGGATGACCTGGGAAGGAATCCCACTGGAGCATTGCAGCACACCCAAATACCTGGGAGTCACTCTGGACCGTGCTCTGACCTACAAGAAGCACTGCCTGAACATCAAGCAAAAAGTGGGTGCTAGAAACAATATCATACGAAAGCTGACTGGCACAACCTGGGGATCACAACCAGACACAGTGAAGACATCTGCCCTTGCGCTATGCTACTCTGCTGCTGAGTACGCATGCCCAGTGTGGAACACATCTCACCACGCTAAAACAGTGGATGTGGCTCTTAATGAGACATGCCGCATTATCACGGGGTGTCTGCGCCCTACACCACTGGAGAAATTACACTGCTTAGCCGGTATTGCACCACCTGACATCCGCCGGGAAGTAGCAGCCAATAGTGAAAGGACCAAGGCAGAGACATCTCCAGCTCATCCTTTGTTTGGGTATCAGCCAGCACGTCAACGACTTAAATCAAGAAATAGTTTTCTAAGATCTACAGAGACACTCGCTGGAACACCTCAGCAAGCGAGAGTCCAAAAGTGGCAGACTCAAACCCAGAACCTCAACCAATGGCTGATACCAAATGAGAGACTCCCCCTGGGCACACAGAAGACTGGGCGACTTGGAAGGCGCTGAACAGACTGCGCTCTGGCACCACGAGATGCAGGGCCAACCTTCACAAATGGGGCCACAAGATGGAGTCCACGGCATGCGAGTGTGGAGAGGAGCAAACCACTGACCACCTGCTGCAATGCACCCTGAGCCCTGCCACATGCACAATGGAGGACCTTCTTGCGGCAACACCAGAGGCACTCCAAGTGGCCAGATACTGGTCAAAAGACATCTAATCAACTACCAAACTCACAAATTGTGTATTCTGTCTGTTTGTTTGCTTTGTGCTGTTAGAAATGTAATATAATTGACTGACTGCCCTGACACGAAATAAATAAAAATGCTACAGAGTCCTGGGAGATGTAGTTTGGTGCAGTACCAGCCCTCTTTGGCATTAAAGGCCAAAGGCCTTGCAAAACTACGACCGAAAGCCCATTGGTAGAGTCTTGGCAGTTTAGGCATCGCCAGGCTGCATTATTGATTGGTGTTTAATAGAATTTTTAAATAGATTTTTAAACGTTTTTAATGTTCCCATTTGTATTTTATCTTTTTACACAGTTAGCAGCTTTGAATTTCATTTCTAACAGAGGAATGGGATAATAATAATAATAATAATAATAATATTTCTATTATGTAGATGGCCTCCTTGAAGTGACTGGACTGGCCTTGAAGGAGCTGGGGGTGGTGACAGGCGACAGGGAGCTCTGGCGTGGGCTGGTCCATGAGGTCACAAAGAGTCGGAGACGACTGAACGAATGAACAACAACAACAATTGTGTAGATGGACTCTTTCAAAATCATATTAATAATAATAATAATAATAATACTGTGCAGATACACCATTAAAATTATAATAATTATTATACTATGTAGATGCACCCTTATAAAATATAATAATTCTAATGTGTAGATCAGTGGTTCTCAACCTTCCTAATGCTGCGACCCCTTAATACAGTTCCTCATGTTGTCGTGATCCCCAATCATAACATTATTTTCATTGCTACATCATAATTGTTATGTTGCTCCTGTTATGAACTGTAATATCAATATCTGATATGCAGGTTGTATTTTCATTCATTGCACCAAATTTGGCCTGAAATGGCCAGGCAACCCCCCTGGGGGCCGCGACCCCCAGGTTGAGAACCGCTGATGTAGATATACCCTTATTAAAAATAATAATTTAACTGTGCAAATAAACCATTAGACAAATATAATAATAATAATATAGATTCACTTTCAAAATAATATAAAATTTAATAATTATTATAATTATACTGTGCAGATACCCCATGAGAAAAAAATTATAATAATTATACTATGTAGACACACCCTTATATTATATTATATTATATTATATTATATTATAATTATTCTAAGGGTGCATCTAGTATGCAGATGTACCTTTATAAAATATAATAAAATATAAGAATAATAAAATATAAATAACAGCAAATTTAATAACTCTATTATTGCTATTATTTATATTTTTTATTCTTATATTTTATAAAGGTACATCTGCATAGTAGATATTAGATAGTAGATTTGCTGTTATTTATATTTTATTATTCTTATATTTTATTATATAAAAATTATAAATAAATATTATAATTATTCTAAGGTTGCATCTATGTAGATGTACCTTTATAAAATATAACAAAATATAAGAATAATAAAATAAAAAATAACAGCAGTAATAACTCTATTTTTGCTATTATTTTTATTTTATTATTCTTATATTTTATTATATAAAAATTACTATTATTCTAAGGGTGCATCTAGTATATTTCTTATATTTTATTATATTTTATAAAGGTACATCTGCATAGATGCAACCTTAGAATAATATTTTTATATATAATTTTATATAATAAAACATAAGAATAATAAAATATAAATAACAGCAAATTTAATAAAATCTATTATTTCTATTTTATTATTATTTATATTTTATTATTCTTATTTATTTAATAAATAATTATTTGATAACTAATTAAATATATTATTTATATTTAATTAGTTATCAAATAATTATTTATTAAATAATAATAAAATATAAATAATAGCAATAATAGAGTTATTAAATTTGCTATTATTTATATATTTTTATTCTTATATTTTATTATATTTTATAAAGGTACATCTGCATAGTAGATGCACCCTTAGAATAATAATAATGTTGAGTAGAAAAGTATAATATAATAATAATAATAATATATAATAATAATTCCACTGGGAAGATAAGAATAATAACTCTATATTGCTATTATTTATATTTTATTATTCTTATATTATATAAACATTATTATTATTCTAAGGGTGCATCTACTATACAGATGTACCTTTATAAAATATAATAAAATGTAAGAATAATAAAATATAAATAACAGCAATAACAGAATTATTTATGTTTTATTTCATATTTATATTTTATTTTATATTTTATTATTCTTATATCTTATTAAAGATTATATATAAAATTATTATTATTCTAAGGGTGCATCTACTATGCAGATGTACCTTTATAAAATATAATAAAATATAATAATAATAAAATATAAATAACAGCAATAACAGAATTATTTATATTTTATTTTATATTTTATTATTTTATTATTCTTATATTTTATTATATTTTATAGAGGTACATCTGCATAGTAGATGCACCCTTAGAATAATAATAATGTGTAGAAAAGTATAATATATAATAATAATAATAATAATAATAATAATAATAATAATATCACTGAGAAGATAAGCAGCAAGTCCTGTAGTTTGGGAAACCCAGAAAGGGGCGTGGCCTATGCTCTAAGGGGCGTGGCCTGCCCATTGTGACGGACGCGTGGCTGTAGGAAAGGGGCGTGGCTTCGCTGTGCTCTAGACTCCGCCCCCTCCCTCCCTTCCCAGAGCGACCCATTGAGGGAAAAACCTAGCTCGGACCGTACCATTTTTGGAAAAAAAAGGGGGGGAGGGTGAAGAACTCCCCCGTTGTTTCCTGAGAGAGCATTCCGTAGCAATCGCCAGCCTTCTTCTCCCAGGGCTGCTCGCTTGGCTTCCCTCCTCCTCTTCCTCCTCCTCCTTGGTTCCTCCCTCCGCGCCTCCCCCCCGCCTCCCCTCAGCGTGGCCCGCTCCGATTTTTGACGCATTGCAGGTGAGAGGCGACCAATGGGCGCGGGAGTCTCATCCTGCGCCTGCCTTCCCGGCCAATGGGAGCGCGCGGCACAAGGGTTTCCGTCACAGTGGAGTCTCCTTCCGCGGAAGAGACGGTCCCGGAGGGGGAGGAAAAGTAGTCCCCCGGCGCCTGATTGGCGGAGAGGGGAATGGGCGGGGCCAAAAGGGGGCGGGGCTTCGGGGCGAGGCCGTTGGCGGAGGGATCCCGGCTTTGGGTCTGCGAGGCGGCTCTCCCGCAGCGGGTTCCGGCCATTGCTGCTCCCTCCTCCTTCCGCGACGCTATTGCTGCTGCTGGTGTTGCTGTGTCTCTCGGTGCCGGTGCCGCGCTCTGCCCTGCTCTCCCAGACCTCTCGCTAGGCCCAACCGGACCCGGAAATGGTGAGGGAGGCCGAGAGTGGATCCCCTTCCCCTCGGGGAGCGGGTTGGGGGGGCAGGGAGTGGATCCCTTCCTCCTGTGAGTGGATTCCCTCATGGATTCCGATTTGAGGGGCTGGGAAATGGGGATCCCTTTGGGAGGGTTCGGGAGTGGATCCCTCCTTAGGGATCCGTTTCGACGAGTGGATCCCTCCTCTTGTGGAACCCTTTTGAGGGAAATGGACCCCCACCTCTTGGGGAATCCCTCATCCTTAGGGATCCGTTTCGACGGGTGGTGAGTGGATCCCTCCTCTTGTGGAACCCTTTTTGAGGGGTAAGGAGTGGATCCCCTCCCTTTTTTTGGAATCCCTTTGGAGGCAAGGAGTGGATTCCCCCCTCCTTATGGAATCTGTTTTGAGGGGTAGGGAGTGGATCTCCCTCCCCTTTAGGGTCGGTTGTGGATCCCTCCTTTAAGGGGGAGCTGTGAGTGGATCCCTTCCCCTTTGGGATCACGGTTGAGTACCTCCTCTTGGGCATCCTGTGATAGATCCCATCCTCTAGGGGAACCTTTTTGGAGGTTTGGGAGTGGATCCCCTCCTCTTTGGAATCGGTTTCGAGGCATTAACGTTGGGTCCCTCCTCTTGGGCATCCTGTGATAGATCCCATCCTCTTGGGGAATCCTTTTTGGAGGTTGGGGAGTGGATCCCTCCTTTTGGAGGGAGCTGTGAGTGGATCCCTTCCTCTTTGGGATCGGTTTCGAGGCATTACGGTTGGGTCCCTCCTCTTGGGCATCCTGTGATAGATCCCATCCTCTTGAGGATCCTTTTTGAAGGTTTGGGAGTGGATCCCCTCCTTTTGGGGAGGGGGAGCTGTGAGTGGATCACCTCCAGTTTGGGATCGGTTTCGAGGCATTATGGTTGGGTCCCTCCTCTTGGGCATCCTGTGATAGATCCCGTCCTCTTGGGGAATCCTCTTTAAAGGTTTGGGAGTGGGTCCCTCCTTTTTGGGGGGGGAGCTGTGAGTGGATCACCTCCTGTTTGGGATCGGTTTCGAGGCATTATGGTTGGGTCCCTTCTCTTGGTCATCCTGTGAATAGATCCCATCCTCTTGGGAATCATTTTTGAAGATTTGGGAGTGGATCCCGCCTCTTGGGTTATCCTTTCTTGTTGGGTCGGGGGGGGGGGGGGCCTGGGGAATCCATTTTGATGGTTCAGGGATAGATCCTTCCTCTTGGGGGATCCGTTTTGAGGGGCTTTGGGAGTGGATCCCACCTCTTGGGGATGTGTTTTGAGCGACAATCAGTGTGCCCTTTTGAGTGTTTAAAGGAGTGGATCCCTCCTCTTGGGAGGGATTGGTTTTGGGTCCAAGGAGTGGATCCCCCACCCCTCAGGGGTCTGGCCAGGTGAGTAGCTTGAGGGAGTGGATCCCTTTTCTTAGGTAACCCACTGGCTTTGGGTGGGGTGGCAAGAAGTGGATCCTTTTCTTGGGGATCGGTTTTTTCAGGGAGTGGATCCCACCATTTAAGGTTTGGGTTTTTCAAAGGGGCAAAAGAGTGGGTCTCCTTGTTTGGGGCAGGGAAAATGGGTCAGGAGGGAGGGGAGACTCTTCTTCCCCTCCTTTCCCCAGGCAGCATTTGTTTATGGTGGGATGTATAGGGCGTGCTTGGGATCTGGGATCAGTGGGTGGGATATCGAGGGGATCCAAAAGATGGGGTGGGTGGAAGAGAGAAGGGTTTAGTTTGAGTCAAGGGGGTGCCTCTTGTCCACATAGGTGGGGCCATGTGATTATTTGGGCTGGGAAGGTTGGCCAGAGGGGGTTTGATGCCATGTTTTCCTCTCCAGAGAAAGGCAAAGACCTCAAAATAAAGGCTTGTTGGGTCAAGTGTTTATCTACATATTATTATTATTGTTATTATATTTCCATCTTGTCTTCACTAATAAAATAGTATATTGTATATACATATAATATTTATAATATTATAATGTAATACAATATAATACTAGTAATAATACAATATTATAATTATATATTTACATGACTAATAATATTACAATGTAATAGTATAGTGTAATATAGTAATATATAATACTGATATTGTACTATGCTAATAATATAATATATTGCATGAAAATATATATTGTAAGCTGCTCTGAGTCCCATTCGGGGTGAAAAGGGCGGCATTTAAATGCTGCAAATAAATAAATATTTTATAAGGGTGCATCTATATAGAATTATTATATTTTACAAGGATTCATCTATGAATATAATATTTTTAAGGGTGCATCTACGTAGAATTATTATTATTATTTTCTAAGGGTTCACCTACACGGTGGAATTATTATTATATTCCATAGGAGTGCATCTACATATAAATAAATATTTTATAAGGGTTCATCTGATAAAATTATTATATTTTACAAGGGTTCATCTAGGAATATTATATTTTTTAAGGGTGCATCTACGTAGAATTATTATTATTATTATTATTATTTTCTAAGAGTCCACCTACACAGTGGAATTATTACTATATTTCATAAGAGTGTATCTACATATTATTATTTATTTATTTATTTACTTCATTTGTATACCGCTCTTCTCAGCCCTTAGGCGACTCAGAGCGGCTTACAACAGTTTAGATATACAGAATACAAAATCATTACGCATTTAAAAACAAGTATGGTGCTGGGGGGAGGGGTCCCCAACGGATGGCAAATGCAGGAGACAAGATGGTGCTGTCCCCTGGCCTCCCCAATAATAATTATTATTATTTTGTTAGGGTTCATCTACACAGTGGAATTATTATTATATTTCATAAGAGTGCATCTACATATTATTATTGTTATTATTATTATTATTATTTTCTTCTAAGGGTTCACCTACACAGTGGAATTATTATTATATTTCATAAGAGTGCATCTACATATTATTATTGTTATTATTATTATTATTATTTTCTAAGGGTTCACCTACACATTGGAATTATTATTATATTTCATAAGAGTGCATCTACATATTATTATTATTATTATTATTATTATTATTGTTATTATTATTATTATTATTATTTTCTTCTAAGGGTTCATTTACACAGTGGAATTATTACTATATTTCATAAGAGTGTGTCTACATATTATTATTATTATCTTCTAAGGGTTCACCTACACAGTGGAATTATTATTATATTTCATAAGAGTGCATCTACATATTATTATTATTGTTATTATTATTATTTTCTAAGGGTTCACCTACACAGTGGAATTATTATATTTCATAAGAGTGCATCTACATATTATTATTATTATTATTATTATTATTTTCCTCTAAGGGTTCACCTACACAGTGGAATTATTATATTTCATAAGAGTACATCTACATATTATTATTATTGTTATTATTCTTAATATTATTATTATTTTCTTCTAAGGGTTCACCTACACAGTGGAATTATTATTATATTTCATAAGAGTACATCTACATATTATTATTGTTATTATTATTATTTTCTTCTAAGGGTTCACCTACACAGTGGAATTATTATTATATTTCATAAGAGTGCATCTACATATTATTATTATTATTATTATTATTATTTTCTTCTAAGGGTTCACCTACACAGTGGAATTATTATATTTCATAAGAGTGCATCTACATATTATTATTATTATTATTATTATTATTTTCCTCTAAGGGTTCACCTACACAGTGGAATTATTATATTTCATAAGAGTACATCTACATATTTATTATTATTATTATTATTATTATTATTATTATTATTATTTTCTTCTAAGGGTTCACCTACACAGTGGAATTATTATTATATTTCATAAGAGTGCATCTACATATTATTATTGTTATTATTATTATTTTCTTCTAAGGGTTCACCTACACAGTGGAATTATTATTATATTTCATAAGAGTGCATCTACATATTATTATTATTATTATTATTTTCTTCTAAGGGTTCACCTACACAGTGGAATTATTACTATATTTCATAAGAGTGCATCTACATATTATTGTTATTATTTGTCTAATGGTTCTTGCGTTCTGGCGAAGTGTCCTATCGAGGTCTTGTAAGTAGGTGGTAAGGCCACTGGTGACAGAAGGCCGACGGTTTGGGCATCCTCCTCCAGGGAAATGGCAGGGCGTTGTGCAAATGGGACCAGGAAGCCAGGAGAGAGAACCGGTGGGGATGGCGGATGGATGTGCCTTGGCTGGCAGCGGGTGGGAGGCACTGGGGAGGGGAGTGACGAGGGGGTGGCAAGTTCGAGAGCGGCTGGGGGGAGAGGAAGGGGTGGGTGGGTGGCACCGCGGACAGAAGGTGGCAGTGAACAAAACAGTTGCGGCTTAATCATCACGCGGCAGCTTCGGGGACGGGGCCTAGTCATCCAGGGTTTTGGGGCGTGGGTATCCGTCTGTTGCGAACCCTTGTGTTTGATTTTTATTATGTTATTTTGCACTTATATATATATATATATATTGTTGTGAAGTATTTTGTTGTTGCTTTGTAACTAATTATATTGTATTATTTTTTGGGCTTGGCTTCATGTTAGTCGCCCCGAGTCCACTTTGGGAAGATGGTGGCGGGTTATAAGTAAAGTTTGTTTATTATTATTATTATTATTATTATTATTATTATTATTGCAGTTACTATAAACCTTGTATACATGGAGCTTGTGGCGACACACCACGAGATTTTGGAGGAAGTGGTTCTGGTGAAGCAGGCTGTGCCTAGTCTTTGAGATCAGTGTTGGAAATGGAGAACTTGCAGGATCTTTAAAGGTATCCATGCATGGGCCAGCTTGGGCCCTCCAAGTGTTTTGGACCTCAACTCCCATCATTCCTAACAGCCTCAGGCCCCTTCCTTTTCCCCCTCAGCTAGTGGCAGAGGGGAAAAAGGAAAGGGCCTGAGGCTGTTAGGAATTGTGAGAGTTGGAGTCCAAAGCACGTGGAGGGCCCAAGTTGGCCCATGCCTGGCTGTTGACCACATCTGCAGTTCCAGAAGGCCCTAATAGCTCATG